TTGTGGTAGATGTTCTGAAGGGCACCCAACAGGATCGCCCCTTTGCAAAGCAGTCCAGAAAGGCGACTTCTTTTGCGCCAACTGTGGCGGAAACCACTCTGCCAACTACAAAGGCTGTAAATGGTACATAGACCGAATCAAGGTACGCAAGCCGGCCCCCAATATCTCGGCTACTCTCCACAAGGCGCATAATAACCACGCTCGGCAAAACAACAATGCAAATCAATTTATCCCCCATCCCATGGTACATGGACACGGACATGCTCAGATCGGGCAACCCTACCAACAGCCAGCGAAGAGGCGTCACCCAATGCAAACCAGATAGTAAATCGAACGAAAGGCAGCTCAACAACATTCCCGGAAACAAGCCGAGCGAGGATGCGAACTCGAGAATTTCGGCTCTTGAAGAGGCCATGCTAAGCCTTACCTCACGAATGGACCAGATCCTTAATACGCTTCATAAAAACTCCGAAACTCAGCACATCCTGATGTCGCTAATTTCTCGCCTTATCCCATCAAAACGAGCCAGTTAAGGATCGGATTATGGAACGCAGATGGCCTTAACAGAAAAATCCAGGAACTAAGGACTTTTCCCGCCACCCACGTCATTGACATAATGCTCCTAACGGAAACGCACATGCACATGTGCTCAAAAATATATGTCCCCGGTTATACTACATATATTGCACAACATCCCTGCAACTACCGCAGAGGAGGTGCCGGCATATTAATACGCCATAGCCTGAGCCACCACCCCCTGGAACACATTTCCCAACCACATCTGCAGATGGCCGCAGTCAAGATAAACACTAGCAGAGGTGACTTCACAATTGCTTCTCTATACCTCCCGCCGGCTGTGCCTTGGACCAAAGCAAATTTTGAGTTCCTAATAATGAACCTAGGACAAAAATTCATTGCCGGAGGGGACTGGAATGCGAAACACAGACTATGGGGAAACAACAGAGCCTGTACGAGAGGGCAGAATTTGCACGAAGCCATCATCGACTGCAGATGCGATGTCTTGGCAACCGGAGATGCTATACTACGCATACTACGCGTACAACTCGCAATGCACTCCTAGTGCCCTAGACTTCTTCATATATGGTGGCCTTAGGCAGAGCTCACTCTCCATCGAGACCAAATATGACCTCTCTTCCTCCTTTGGGTACTGTCCACACCAACCCTATGCAGCAGCCAAAAAGAAAGAGTCTACTTCCGCCAAATGGGGATGTTGAAAGATTCCAGGCTGAACTCAACAACACAATCAATCTCAACATGATCCTGACCTCCCCTGATGAGGATGCTATCGATAATTTCATGGCGAAGATTCGAGCAGCAGCCCAACTTGCTTCACATGCTATAGACCCGATCCGGATATCGCCCCCTCGAGGCTCAATCCATCCGGCTGCAGCTCCACTTCTGGCATTAAAAAGGCGGCTACGCAAGGAGCACGTGCGCACTGGTGACCTAAGAGTAAGCAGGATATATAGAAGGATATCCAACAGGCTCCAGAAAGTCCTCGCGGCCATAAGCAACCAGCAGTTCAGCAGAAAACTTATGGACGCAAGCCCAGATGCTAGCACGGGATACAGCCTCTGGCAGCTGACAAAAAGCTTTAAAAGACAGCCCGTCCGCAAAAGTCCCATAAAAAGAGAGGATGGTTCCTGGGCCAGATCGAGCTTAGAACGCGCTGAAACTTTCGCCACGCACCTAGAGGAGCGAATTTAACCGTTCGATTCCCCCCACTCCATGAAGAATGCATAGACGGAACCCTTGAAGCACCACAACAACCTGATCTATCCACTCTCCAGGTGACCCTCAAAGAGGTCGAAACACAAATCCAAGAGCTTAAGATTCGTAAAGTCCCTGGATCTGATGAACTTTACAGCAGAACAATAAAGCTGCTCCCCACCAAAGGCATACTCTTCATTGTGCTCTTATATAATTCAATGCTTCGAATCGGACACTTCCCAAGGCAATGGAAAAGCGCTCTGATTGCCATGATTCCAAAACTCAAAAAATCGCTCACGCAAGTCGAATCTTATCGACCAATCAGCCTGCTTCCGACCCTCTCCAAAATATTCGAAAGAATATTAATGGCCAGAGTGTCGGAACTGGATTGTGTTAAGCGCATCATACCAAGGCATCAGTTCGGATTTCAAAGACGGCATGGGGCACCGGAGCAGCTCCACCGAGTGGTGGATTTCATCCTCGACAGCTTCGAGAACCTCGAGTACTGCGTCGCGGCATTTGTTGATATCAAACAAGCGTTTGACCGAGTGTGGCACAAAGGACTCCTGTTCAAAATAAAAAAATTTTCTTCCTCCCTCTGTTTTTCACATAATCCACAGCTTCCTCAAAAACAGAAAGTTTGTAGTTGTAGTCAACGGCAAGTTCTCTGCAGTCAAGGAAATGCAAGCTGGAGTCCCCCAGGGCAGTGTCCTTGCTCCGTGGCTCTACACTGCTTATACAGCCGACATGCCGACGGTGGACCCGATGACACTGGAGCATCCCGATAGCTTCAACCTCGCCACGTTCGCCGACGATACAGCAATCCTCTCAAAAGCCAGCTGTGTTTACCAAGCCACTGACCAACTACAAGAATACCTGCACGAGTTTCAGACGTGGGCATCAAAGTGGCGAATTGCCATCAACAAGCAAAAATCGATATGCTGCACATTCGCGATCCGGGGAGATACCTCGCCAGGAGTATTCCTCCAAGGCGAACTTCTTGATCATAAAGACGGCCATCGCTACCTGGGAGTCTACCTTGATCGCAGGCTCACTTGGAGCAAACACATCGCAACAACATGCCACAGCGTACGTCAAAAACTAAAAAGTATGGCTTGGCTCCTTAAGGCAAACAGCAATCTTTCTCTGAGCAATAAGGTGCTACTTTATAAAACCCTCCTGGCCCCAGTCTGGCGCTATGCAAGTCAAATTTTCGGCACGGCAGCAAAATCTCACTTGAGGAAAATAAGTGTCTTCCAAGCGAAGGTACTCAGACTGAGTGCTGGGGCTCCCTGGTACATCCGCAACCGGGCCCTAGCAAGACACCTAAAGGTCCCCTTGGTGGGCGACCTTCTACGTCAGCAGTCCACGAGCTACATGGCCCGTCTTTCTGCCCACCCCAATATATTGGCTAGAAGACTTTTCAGAAGAAAGCGACGGAGACTTCGCAGAATCCACCCCATCGACCTCCCAAACCGGGTAATCACTTGAAAAAAAAAAAGTAATAATAATCATACTACAAAAGATAAATTGAATAATTATAAAACTTAATAGGTACTATTAAATATGTTTATCCCATCATAGTCAAGCTAGGTTAAGATGCTCATGTATAGTATCAATAAACTAGCTAATAAAAGACAAAAAAAAAAAAAAAAGGTAATTCATCGTCGGCTTGTCACACACTCTTTCAAGGAAGCAGTTGTGTTCTACTTGAATGAAACAGGTGGATTGCACTTGTCGCTCGTTTTCACTTTGATATGCATAAACAAGTAAGAGGTTCTAGTCGGGAACTCCCGACTAGAGGATACCCTTAACCCTCTTCTTCCAACAAATGCATATATATATTCTATTTTAGAAGCTATATTTCAAGTTTGGTGACTCTAGCTCTTATTATTTACCAAAATTGCCCAAAAAACAGGATATCGATATAGATTTTTATCGATTGCTTGGAAACGGAGTAGGTTATCGATTATCGGAAACAAACTCGATCTGCGCGGGAACTAGGAGCATCTACATCTAAAATTTCAAGTCACTAGCTCTTATAGGTTCTGAGACCCTTGCGTTCATACATACGGACAGACAGACGGACATGGCTAGATCGACTCGGCTATTGATGCTGATCAAGAATATATATACTTTATGGGGTCGGAGATGCTTCCTTCTGCCTGTTACATACATTTGGATTTTGCACCCATTTTAAATGGGTTCAGGGTATAAAAAAAGTGATCTTTTTATGAATTTATTGATATTGTAAAAGTTTTAGATTTAAATTTACGCAACCATTTATGAAAATATCTCCGTCTCACGACAAGCCCTTGATCAGCTCATACGCACTTATTTGTGTGTGTGTGTGTACTGTCTGTGTGTGTATTTGTCCGCACAAGCAAAAATTCCCACAAATTCAATTTTTCTCAAAAGTCGGTGGCTTTCTTCCCTTTTGAAGGGACGAGTAATATGAAATAATGAAAGGGTTTGCCACGTCGTAACGAAATTTTTGCATTTTAGCTCGGTATCGCTGGTAAGGGTACCTAAGCGTTGCCATGTGTGCAATATATATTTAGGTAAAACTTATGAAAATGTTTTTTTTTATATTTTTGATCTGGCTTGTTTCTGTATGCATACTTCGTGTCAGTGTTTATATGCAGACTGGGCCAGGAAGAACGCCCTACTACGGAGAGCTAATTTGAGCAAAAGCAAGAAGTACTCGCCCCCGAACCTAACGCTCCGAACGTGAGCCGCCATGGGTGAAAACGCCATAGATGTTCGCGACTGAACGTGTGCACTGTATGTGGAAAGCACTGTTGTCAGCCACCCAGTACACATGTGAGCACTATAATCGTTTTGTGCCTCTAATCTACAATTATACAATACATATGAGGAATATGGATTTCCGGAATTGGTCTAGCCACTAGTTAACGTCGGCAGAAACATATTGTGTTAGCGGCTTATAGACTCTTTGATCGACGCTTTCTTACAGACTCAGATAATGAGGTCGCGTCGGCTGAGGATGCTGAGCGGGAATATACATTTTTTTTATAAGATTGTACAAAACCATTGTACCCATTACATTATACCATTACGCTTTCTAAATTATTTTGAATGGTATAAAAACCGCACACAAGCAAATCACGAATTATAGCATAAAATGTACAATACGTGTATGTGATTTCGTTACGTACAATACATTTATTTAAATTTTTTCCTTTTCTAAAATTTTTTTAAAACACTGTATATATATATATTTTTTTTCCTGCTTACATTTATTTTAGCAATGCCTGCGAATGTCAATGCGGACGTGCCAGCTGCTCATTGACTACGACGTTGCCCATCGTTAGCTTACCACCATTAAAGTCTCTTGGTTCCAGTTTTGTTAGTGATAGCAGCAGCAATGTGTTTGTTAAAGATCTGCACAGTATCAAAGGCGCGGAAGGGGAGGAGGAGCTCCAGCAATTGCCGCTATCACAACACAATAATGAGCCGTCGGCCCTTGAGCTACCGGTGTTGGCCTCTTCGGGGTATATTTCAACAGCCCCGCCCACCGCAAAGATCACGACATCAGGTAAGGAGTGTGTACAGATTGTACCAGAAGCATTAGAAAACCAACATCGTAATTTCACGACTATGCCGGTCAATCAATATCACACTCCTAGAATAGTCGGTAACGCAAGCACCGTAGAAGCTGCAATCGGTCGGCAGCTTCAGCCGGACCTGGATATAGTCAAGGAAGTTCAAATTCAGTTGATCAAGACTAACACCTATGACAGCAGTAACATACAATTCGTCAATAAGCCTACCAACAAATTTCAAAAAGCATTTGTCCCTTTAAATAAGCCATATCTGTGCGTTAAAGAGGATTCGCGGACTGGATTGACGGTCGAAACTATGAGCGAGGCGCAAATAATGGTGGATTGTGCTGATGCAGAGCTATCACCCACCACTGATGAGTATCAGGAGGGAATGCACTTTGGGGACGCTAGTAAGGATGCCGTTTTCGGCATCGATATTATACGTACAGAAAGGAATTTTGGCTATGTAGCTCCGGCACCGACACCGACGCCTTCCATTGCGCCTCTTGCTGTACTGGAAGTCGATATAGTGGATGATGAACCCTTCGATGAGCCGGTAGTCGTGAGAACTCTGACGCCTGCATTAAGTAATGACGAAGCTCCCAGACGGCGCAAAAAACGCAACTCTAGGATCAAGAAATTTAGCTCGCTTGATGAGAGAGATAAAGTAAATGAGAAGCCTTCCGGCTCAGCGCGAACAGCAACTGACAAAGCCGATCAGAATACCGTATGTCCTTGGGAAGATGGGTGAGTATGTTCTTAAGCTCCTGAGTGAATGTTATTCATTAACGGCCTAAATCACATTATCTTAGGGACGGTAACACCAACGATGGAACATTTGTGAAGACATACGCTACGCTAGGGTACCTATGAATAAAGGCAGAACGAGAATAACGCCGCATTTTACATCAGTTACTTTCATACTATTGTTGGCAAAAAAATAAATTATACATGTATAAAGCTTATATTATTATTTCAATGTATATGTATGGATATGATGAATGCATATCTGCTTCTTATGTTAAATAAAAAGGCTAAATGACAGCGTTTGGGTAACAACAACAAATTATTATTACAAAGAGGAAAAAGTACAAGCGCTTCTAAAATAAACAACATTGTTTATTTACTTCACAATTTAACAGCAAATAAAAAGTTAACAAGTAAGAATGCCCGATACCCCGTTCTTAAATGTTACTTATCTTCCGTATTTAATGAAATTTTCGATTTTCAAATCGTAAGGTTATTTCGATAAAAATAAATTTATATTTCTGCTGGAGGCTTAGATGTTTAAATTGACAGTCCGTGTGTGCGGTATGAGAACACATATACCAAATTTTACGTATTTACCTCTTAAAGTCTTTAAATAATCATTAGCAAACCTTGTTTCAAAACTGTTGGAAGTGCGACTTGGGAAAATCTCGAACCTTCTTCTACAACAATAAGCGTAGCTCTTGTTATGCGCTTGATTGATTAAGCTTAACACTTATTACCTATTAAAAGGATAAAGCTATATAGTAGCATCATTAAATATATTTTTTAAATTAGTATCTTCTGTCAGTGCAATTGCCATCAACTCATACATTCTAGTTATTTTAAAATTAAAATATTATAAAAAAAATTCTGTACTGAAAATAACAACACATACACTAAGCACAGAATAAAACACAACAAGTCTACTTATGTATATTGGCACATTCAAACAGTGCTTTGGACCAGCTGCCTTTTAATGTTTTCATAAATAGCTTCTGTGTCCCTAACCTGATCCTTTGAGATTTACTGAAGCAGATCTTATGGGGCCATCGGAAATTCGAATATTCATAAAAAGAAAACAGCTTTTGATTTGTAGTTTAAAACTGATGTTAAGTTCAACTTAAAATTTGTATTTATTTAATTTTGACACTTTAACTTTTTAAAAGCGAGGCTGGATTCTACGTCATCTAATGAAGTGAATATTTTAGTCAATGAAGTTTTCTATAAGCTTGGAATACCCAAAGTCATCCATTCTTATAACGGATGCCAATTCAAGAACAAGATCACCGCGAGCGGGATCTCTACCTTTCAGAAATATAAGTCTCCATACACAATGTAATACACGCAGTGACCGGTAAGACTAAATTCTATACAGTTTTTGGACTTCCCATGTTCGTAAGTGGAGAATATCACAACTTGGCTCGAAAATGAGATTCTCTGGGTGATCATGAATTTCTCATCTGCACCCAGTAGAATAGATCGAGGTTATGCGGCAGCGTGTCTAAGATCATTTGCATAATACGTACGAGAGTAGTCACAAGCAATACAATGCCCGAGTATTCCAGGCGGAACCGGATAAAGAAGTTTATCGAATTAACTAACTTTTATTTGCTGGAGGGATTTTAAGAGAAACATAAAGGCTTATCATGAAAAGGATATAAGAGCATTGAGGAAGGTCGTGGTGCCCCTCACGTTGGGAGCTTCCGCATTCAAGGAAGTTAGAGGCTGGCCAAATTTAGCGCAGGCGGGAGAAGAAGCTCGAGCAAGGACCCCATTCGCCTTAGGAATCTATGGGTGATGTTGCATGTGGGAGTCTAAAGGGCAATCGATAGGCAGAGATGAGATATCGATGAGGGCCCTAAGTTACCTGAGAGATCCGCTGCTCTCTCCAAAATCATGAAAAAAGAGACAGTAAACTGGTGCCCTTTAAGATGCCTTTTGTCTTCCACGGTCGCTGACCGACATATGCAGATGTGCCTATGGGCAGAAATAATGACGACAATTTAAATGTATCTTTATGCTCATTTTGAAATCAATCTCGTTGCTGCCTATGGCAACAGAAAACAACAAAAAGTAAGTAAACAAGCTCGTTTGACTTATCAGTAATACAAATTCATATAAAACAAGTAAGAGGTTCTAGTCGGGAGCTCCCGAGTAGAGGCCGCACCACTTGCTATGCCTCTACTCAGCAGCCACACCAACAATTGAGTACTTATGATTAAAAAAAGGAACTAAAATAACATTACAAAAAAAAGATGCAATTACCATGTATAATTACATATTAGAATGCGAAGCAGACGCGCATGAATGTGTGTGTGTACCTGTATACAGAAATTCTTAAAGCTGCTGCCCCATTCAATTGCGCAGTTGCATATAACTTTGGTTCTTCTTAACCGATCTTTATGAAATTTTCTACAGTATATCTTATTGTACCATAGAATATTTGTGTATTCTGAAAAAGTCAATTGCATTTAAATTGTGGTTTAAATTGGTTGGCAATAAAAGTTGGGCTATTAACTTGATTTATAGCTCTGGGGTTGTAGCGGGGAGGTGGCGATAGGTATGAAATGAAAGATACTTGAAATATCTATAATATTCTAGAAGCAACATATCATGTTTTGTGGCTCTAGTTCTTATTATTTACCCAATTTGCTAAAAAGAAAGGATGTCGATATCGATTTTTATCGATTGCTTGGAAACGGAGTAAGTTATCGATTATCGGAAACAAACTCGATCTGCGCGGGAACTATATAGGAGCATCTACATCTAAAATTTCAAGTCTCTAGCTTGTATAAGTTCTGAGATCCTTGCGTTCATACATACGGACGGACGGACGGACGGACGGACAGACAGACGGACAGACAGACGGACATGGCTAGATCGACTCGGCTATTGATGCTGATCAAGAATATATATACTTTATGGGGTCGGAGATGCTTCCTTCTGCCTGTTACATACATTTGGATTTTTAATGGGTTCAGGGTATAAAAATAGGTCTCACAATAGGACTGAAACCCGATACAGTCCGGACTACTTACCGCTACGTTTTACTCGACAGCCATACTAACAATTCAATCTTAATGAAAAAAACCAAAATATCAGCACAAATTGCAATTGCAAAGTTGTTAATAGAATTCAATAAAGACGCGTTTGAATGTGTGTGTGTTCATGTAAGTAGGCAAATAACCCTCCCTTGCTAAGCCCCTCATATTTATAGCTACCCACGCATGGGCATTCTGTTGACGAATCAGTGCTATGCCCAGCTACAAAGTAGTCGCTGGTAACATGACACTTGTCGGCATTGTCGGCTATGACTTCGGCAGCTTATACTCCTGGTTTTGGTTTTAGCTTTAGTTTTCAGATGAAACAATATTCAGTTTTGTTTGAAGACTCGATTGTAAAACAATAAAGTAATACTTGCTACGGCAGTTGTCCGTAAAATCACATTGTTATTTTATGACAAATTATTACTGAGCCCAAGGCCAGTAATAAGAGAGCGAAGTCAAGCTTTCCACCCTAATCGTCATAAAAAGTCATTTGCACTCAATCATAACACAATCTGTCCAGCCACCTGCCAAGAAGACTTAATTGGATTCAACTATAACTCGATTTTGTCAGCTATCTGCCCAGTTGACTTAATTGAATTAAACTATAACTCGATCTGACCAGCAGACTTAATTTGTATACAGAAATTCTTGCAATGTGCACTAGCTGGCGCAGACACGTGTCAATATAAGCTCACGTTTTCTTTAATAAATTTTGATCGTGTTGATCTTATCTTGTGCGAAAGAATATTTTCATTCTCTAGAAATGCAATTGTATTAAGCTCGTGGCTTAAATTGATGGGTATTTCACTTGGTTTATTGTTTAGATTTATAGCTATGGGGAAGAGGCGTAGAATGGCGATAGCTATAAAACCAAAGAAACTTGGTTTATATAAATTTACAAAGTTGTAGTTATATCTTTTTATTTATTGGGCAACTATGGCTGTTGACCGTTGCATATAAACTGAACTTATGATAACCTAAAGCTATCCCACGTTGTCCATGGTCCGGGGCAGTGACATCGACAGAATGCTGACTTGGCGCCTCGTGACCATGCTTGGACACTTGGTGCGCGCATTCCGGGGTCAGATTTCGTCGAACGCTATGTTGCATCGTTCGCTTCTTTGTAGCACACATAACCCCTCTTGCGACAATCTGTGAATCATTTGTGTTCACTCCTCCCTTGGTTAAATGAAGGCCGTCCTCGAAATTCTGTAATGATATGACGGATGATGATGTAAAGCAAGAAAACTACAGCCAGGGTAGAGCAGCTGCTTAATATTGACTTGGCTAGCAATTTGGTCTGTAGGTAATCTATGTGCTGAAGGTTTTTCATGCTCTGTTCATGAATTGAAGATAAATTGACCCGTTCCAGATGCCTAGTAACGTTCACTTTGGCCATGACGGATACCGCAGGTTTTTTCTTCAGTGCTCCGTAGTTGTTGGCAGACAACGCATCATTCACATAGACCCTGTCCTCAAAAGTTAGCGGGTAGGTCCCGGAGATTTGTTGACCGAACCCGTTACTATCAACGACGTTTATGGTTGCGTCATTGATAATAATCATCTCTTCGTCGACCACAGCAACCGAGTCCAAATGGCCCGGTTGAGTGCTCCATTGCGCGACAGTTCCAGGTACAAATTGTTGAGCATAGGTTGACATCTGCGTCCTTTTGCAGAAAGTAGTGCCCACTGTTGGATCACACTCACTGATAATGAAGATCTTCGTACCACACTCAGCGACCGTATAGCCTTCTTCGAAATTAAAAATTCGGCTATCATGCTGGACTGGATAAACTTTAATATTTTTGCAAACTAATTTTGGTTTTGGAAACTTAATAAGAAAATACAATAAATTTTCGTTCTGGAATGTTTTGATGCTAGCTACCTCCAAAATATCTGCTACACTGGCATTCGTGAGGTGTTCATTCGTTATTTCATTAACATCAATATCATCCAGAATCGTAGGGCTGATCAAGTTGATTTTCGACAAGCTATAACGAATATTAAATCTGTTAAATTATTGTTATTATTATTGTATTTTTTTCCAGAAACCTTTCGTACAAATGTTCCGTGACCAGACCGTCTATTCTGAATGGCATTTAAGGAGTTTGTAATTTCGATAAGCCTTCTTTGGATTTTGGTGATTATTTCTATCTGGTAATTTACTGAATTTACTAGTTGACCTTGCTTTAACTTAATTTATTCCC